TCTACAGGGCAAGGGTAAGTTGGAAAAAGAAACACAATTTGTGGTATGCAAATTGCATATCTTTTTCTGCTTTACTGTCGAAAGAGGCTTTTCTGAAATTTGGCACATCTACATGGCACCACATTTCAGAAAAAAAGTGCTTTTTTGACATCCCTTATTCCTCATAAAACAAGATTTAGAGGGATGTCAAAAGAGCACGTACGCTTTTTCAAAAACATTTACAAAGAAGCGGATGCGTTCCTTGGACGTGGCAATCTAGACATAGCCTAAGTGAGAACAGAGCTGTCTTGAAAATCTGACCCCAGTTGTGGGTGCTGAGTCCTTCTGAGAAGTCTGGCCATAGTGGCTCCATGAAATATTTCTTATCTAGGTCCTTTCTTGCAGCGTGTTTTATGCAAACAGGGCAGCATTTGTGCTACTTACTGCAGGAAAACCTGAAAATGAAACTGAAAAGAAAGACAAGTAAACTAGTCTAGTTTCATTGTCCAAGTTGAGTGATACAAAGAAGTAAACCAGGTTCAACAGTACTGAAAAAGAGAGTTTAAAAAAAACTTTTTTTCTAATCTAAGGTGGCTCTCCAGCACCAACTAAGCCTTTCAAATAACTACTCTTCATTTTTAAACCAAACAAATATACTTTATTTTTAAAGCAAACAATATCTGTCCTAATTATTACAAACATATCTATCTGCTCTGAAACAATTCCTTTCTCTCATTACCTTTCAGATACTCACCATGGATCTATTTCTCCAGTGAGCAATTTTTAAAAGTCAAGGAAAAATATGTGTTCAGATAATGGTGCTAGTCTAATATTAAACCCACAATAACAAGGGGAATTAAGAATGCAATGATAGTGTTTAACTCCATTCTCCTCTCCACTGCTGTGTCTCTGCACTGTGTATACAACATGCCATATGTGCTGCAAAAACCAAAGGCACACACAGAGGTGGGTTGAGGAGAGAGGTGGGGGGGGGGGGGGGGGTATTTACAGGATCCTGCAGGCCTTAAATTTGGACCCTTGTTCATCATCTTTGTGTGACTAAGGGATAGTTAAGCGGATTATGTTCCCCCTCTCTCCATCCCAGGTCCTGGAGCCGCTGCTGCAACAGTTCAAACAAGCATCCCAGTTTTTCAGAAGAGCCAGCTCAGCCTCAGAGCTCCGAACTTCTTTAAAACCTGGCCATCAAGAGAGCTGCTGTGTCCCCAGCCCCTTTTCCCAAACTAGAAATCTAGGCCAGCAAAGCGAGGTAGAGAGGAGTTTGTTTACCTAAGCACCCGCTTCCCCAAAGAATGGCAGCAAAAGGCAGCAGTGTGCATTTGTATGTACATACGGAGGGCCGAGAAAAGCCGGGGAATGAAAGCCACCAGTCTGTTCCTTGCCTCTCGCCCCAGCGAAAAGAACGTGCTTAAAGGGACAGGGCCACTTAGTCTAGCAAAGCGAAAGGAAATCACCCCCAAGGAATCGCGGGTTCTCTACCTGCTGCTGATTCCTTTGCCCTCTTGTCGGGACTTACAATGTGCATGAGCAGCAAATGCTTTTCTTCCTACTGTTGCTGCCTCCACGACCCAAACAAAACCGGGGGCAAAATTGACTAGCCCGTGGAAACAGCCTGCCACGGCGTATGCGCACGTGCTGTCATGCTGTGCAAAGGATGAAAAATCACTTCTCCAGTCCTCCAGCTGCAGGAACCCATGGAATAGCGCCGGGCTGTCAGACTCGCGGCTCTGAGCACTGCCTATGTGTGTTGGATCGTTTGGGGGACCCTGAGTAACGCAGAGGGCTCAGCTGCACCCCAGCGCCCCAGAGATGGAAGTTGCGCTGAGCTCCTGGGCAACTTTCCAGTCCTAGTTCCCAGGAAGGTCCTAGCTTTGCCCCGACCCGTCTTGCTCGCCGTTCCCAGTGTCCTCGGGCAGCGCTAGAGCTGCCTGTGACATTCCGGCTCCGGGCGCCGG